TCCTTTTTTTTTTTTTTTTTTTTTTTTGGCTCCGGGGGTGGATATCGAACTCGGTTCTTACTCTTGCTATGCTTGGGAGGCAGGCGGAACCACTGAGCCAAATCCCTGGCCCTCCTTTTGATGTGAGAACTGTAGTTTGTCCTGAGGGAAACATCTGTCACAGGGACTAGAATGCCAAAGTCACATGGTCTTTCTTATATTTAGAAAGATGCTTTATTGAAAAATTCTGGATATCAGGCAGTAAGTGTAGAATCCGGGAAAGATAGAAAAACTGCAGTAGCAGTAGCTCTGGCCAAGTGTGGGAGTCTGCTCTGAATATATGTCAGAGTGAACAGCTCTGCGTATTAGGTTGGAGAGGAGACATGAAAGGAAGAGGAGAGGGAAGAATATCTTCAAGATTTTTTGATGCGAGCAACTGGAAAGATGCAAATTCATTGAGTGAGATGGGAAATAGTATGGGTGAAATAAACATAAGGCAGAACATCAACTTAGTCTTGAGTGTATTATGTTTGAAGCACCTATTAGAGGTCTTCATTGCAATATTATGCAGGCAATTTTTAGGAAGCCAGGTTTCAGGTGAAAGAACTTGACATGTGGATGGTAAAGCCCTGCTGCTAAAGGACACCAGCAAGACAGGCAATGTAGAACTGACTCAAAAAATGAGTAAATTTGAACAAGATCCCCAAGTGCTTCACAGGTGCATGGGAGTCCTGGAAGAACATCACACCATGAACAGCATAAAGAACATGAGCTGTCCGGAAGTACTGAGGCTCAGGTAAACTATAAGCTCTGGGTGACAATGACGCAAGGTCACGCACTGTAACAAAAGCACCGTTCTGTCGGGGTGCGGATACTGGACACGGTTATGAATGTGTGTGGTACAGGTGATAGAAGTCTTTTTACGTCTGCTTAATTTTGCTGCGAACCCTAAACTCTTCTAAAAAACTTGAAAAATGTTTGTATTGTCTCTTAAACGACTCTACGTATCAAGCGAAAAACTTAAAAGTCCTTATTTTGGTTATGGTATAACAGTCTTCACAAAACCTTCTTTGAAATTATGCCACAGTACAATGAAATAATGAAACTCTTCCACCAGATTAAATATATACAAAATAAAAATCATCTTCCATGTGTTAAAAGAGGGAGCATGCACTTTTGAGGCAAATAAATTGAATTCTAACCCTGCCATATAGAAACCATTTGATTTTTTGAAAATTACTTAACCACCATGTAGGTTTCCCCATCGTAAATTGGGGAAAATGATTAATATTAGCATAGTATGTGAAGGTGTACTGTAGTGGTAGTTTTGAGAACACTAGGTAATGGTCACTGAGCACTCTGTCAGGATCTTGGCAGGAAACAACTCACTCAGGTGGTTTCAATAAGTCATTCTCAAGCCTGGCTTCATTACCTGCAGAGCTCTTAAACAGCAGACCCCTCCCAGGCCTGTTGCACTAATCTCTGGGGACAGAGTCCAAGCACTGACAGTTTTAAACGCTCCTTTGCTAATGACAATGTGCAACAAGGTTTGGGAACCACTGATTCAAATGGGAAGGTCATAAGGAAGGGACTACTTAGAAATTTGTGCAGAATTAAGAAATGGCCATGAGAGACGGAAGTATTCAGGGATCAGCAACAGGGGGAAACCATTAACTGACCTGTGGCTGGAGGCAGGAAACAGTCATGCAGCATTGCGGGAAGAGACACCTAGGGGGACGTTAGCGCCGAGGAGGGATCCAACAGTTGTGAGAAGAGGACGCAGAAGTAGCAGGGGCACTGCAGGAAGTTCTCTGTCCTGACTCCTCCCACCTTCTAGTCCTGGGACATCTCCTCCCATTGGCTGGCTGCAAATTGAAGCTGGCTTTCAAGAAAACCTGGGTGACGTAGTCCTCCACAGAGATCACCACCCTTGGGAAGAGGGAAGGCTGCAGAGGGGTTGCTGAAGGGTCAAACTGAAAATAATCAGCAGAGGCACTTACTCTAGGCTGGGCTCTGTTCCAAGTACTTTACACGGATTAACATTTTAGTAAATGGCTTCATTCTTTTTCATTAAGACCCAGTACTTTTTTTAATTGAACAAAAATATATGCCAGATCCATTAATTATTAGAGACAGTTAACTATTTCCAGGTTGTCACATGCAAGATCACCAAAGCCATTCTTCAAGTCACTCTGCAGTGGTAAAGCTGAATGGCTAGGGTTGTGTACCCACATTCTCTAATCCAACAGGCTCTCCAGGCCTACAGGAAAATTCTCAATAATCAGCTGGCTCTCAGAGTATAATCCAGGAATAAAAGAACTTCACTGGCTCCTGATGACCCAGGTTTCTAATTTGACTTAGGAAAATATAATATTGGAAGACATGGATCGGGGAAGGTATCAATCGCAGATCCTATGAGAATTCTGACCCATTACATGAACTGTATGAAGTCTATGAGACCAATTATGTTCATAAGCTCTTTTGTTTGCTCACTCTTGTAAGAAAGGATTTTTTGTTTTTGTTTTGTTTTGTTTTTTGTGCTGGCAATTGAACTCAGGACCTTGAGCTTGTGAGGCATGTGGTGGAACCACTGAGCTAGATCTCCACCCTAAGAAAGGTATTTTTGTTTTGTTTTTGGTACCAGGGATTTAACTTGGGACCTTGTGATTTCGAGGCAGGCAGCAGCTAAATTTCCTGTCCTAAGATAGTTTTTAATGTAATTAACATCAGCTATGGGAAAATGAACAGGAAGAATAAGTCTGCTTGAAAGTAGGAAGCACACGTTGCTGAAGGACAAAGGAGAACCTCATGCATAACAACAGGACATAATTTGGGCCATGTTTCAGAGCGATATAAAAGTTAAGCAATAACATTTAAGAGGAATTCCTATGTAGAAGGTGAGAGAGCGGCTTGCTTCCTTTGACCCAGAGAGGAGCTGAAGGCACAGGGCCTGTGCGTTCACAGTCAGCTCAGGTGAATCCTGGCTGAGGAGAAAATGAGAGGGCAGTGCAACGGCAAAGCTCTGCTCACCAGCTGTCCTTGGTAGGGATCCTACTCCACTTCTGGAGCAAAGCCGTGTGTTCGGGAAAGAGAAGGCTGGGCTGAGATCTCAGGGTGGGAGCACGGGTGATGCCTGATACAGAGAACGCAGGTACACTTGACAAGGGGCATTTCTCACCGCTCTGGTTACCTGCGTCTCGTTTCCTCTCGACTCCCTTCATCACAGTCGCACTAGTGGTTATACAGCATCAACCCACCAGCCTTAAGAATCATGTTTGGAGGACGTGCTCTGAAGAAGGGCTCGTACTTCTTTAAACAATCTACCTGGGGTATGTCTGTCCAACACGGGACTTCCACATACCTAGGGTTTCATCCCAACACTTCCCCGCTTTCAGAGAACATTGAGCAGACTTTTCATTATGTTTGATTTTTTAAAGCAGACACGCTAACACATGCCTATAATCCCAGCACTCTGGGAGGCTGAGGCAGGAGGTTCTCAAGTTACAGCCCTTCTCCCTGCGCAACTCATCAATTTAAGGAGATCCTCCCTCAAAATTAAAAAAAGAGAGAGATGGGGATGAGGGTCAGTGGAAAGACACTGGGTTCAATACCTAGTACTAGAAAAAGAGAAGAGCCAGTGCTAGTGGGCACATCTGTTTGTTAAGAGGATTCTAGAAAAAAAGAAATTTTCTGTTCACAACCATTCTTTATTAATAGTGCAATTCCAGCACTAAGGGAGGGAGTTCTTCTCAAATCCCACCACGCCCCAAACTGCTGAGGCTGCTTTCATATGCAGATACTCCACTAAGAAATTAATGGAGGCTTTCTCAGCACTGGTGGTATTTATTTAACGTGCATTACAATCCCAATTGACACTTCCTAGTGAGTTTATTGCTGCTCCAGAGTTGAAGCTATCGCACTCAGTAAGCATGAACTCGCATGTCAGAAATGAAACATAGTCAGTCCTGATGCTCAAATGGCCTGCATCGATTCTTGGGCAGTCTAAGCACTTTAGTCCGGTGCCAGGCCTCTAATTTGTGCCCTGAAGTGTAGAGCCTCGCTTGATTGAGATGTCAGAATGAGGCAGCACCTCAGTTGGAGAAATTAACTGAAATAGTCTGGCAAATTGGTTTGGATAGCTTCACCTTGGATTGTCAAAGTCATTGTTCTCACGTAAACAAGGGACTAAATAATATTCCCATAGACTTATCGGGGTGTTTTATCAAAGGGAATGTCCTCTGAGTCAAAGCTTGCTGTGTTCTGTGCTTTATCTGTACAGTAAATTCCATTCAGAGAAATTTACGCCAAGGCTGTAGGATCGACATTCCTAACAAATGAGTATTTAGGGCATTGTCTTTGAGTATAAAATAAACACTCTCAGGGCTCTAAGGAAGCTCTTTCAATCATCTACAGAGTCAAAAAGACTTCGAAACTTCGAAGGTGCTGACTTATCTACAGAACATCATCCATTCACAGTATGTTTCTCTGCTCCAGAGAAGTCAGCTACCATCTCCAAAGGCGTTACTGACGTCTGCAAGACCAGCAACATGCACATCAGCCACATTTCTACTTACGGCTGAAGTCTAGCTGTGCGGAAACACAAAACAAACACTTTCTGAATGACAATAGTTATTGAAGTTTTTTTTAAGAGACAAACTCTTTCAGAATTACAATAAAAAATTCCAATATTTAGAATTAAATATACAAGAGACAAAAGTTCCCAGGGACTGAAGTGACCTGTTTGAGTTAAAGAGCTTGTTAGGAGGTGCTGGAAGGAATAGAATCCAAGCCTCATTCCTCCAAATTCACGATGGTAAACCTTGTAGAGCTTTCAGGGATCACAAACAGCCACCTGTGGCATGCGTGCCATCTTTTCGCCACCACTGCCCCAAACTGTCTCTCAGGGATGTTGGCATTTGATCACATCCAAAATCATATCTGTGTTACTTTTCTCATTGCTGAGACAAAATACCTGATTCCCACAAGTTAAAGTTTTATTTAGCTCACAGTTTGTAGAGGTTTCAGGCCATAGCTGGCTCCAAGGCAGGGGGCACAACAGGGGAGCACTGCAGAGGAGCAACCATTCATGGCAAAGCAACAAACAACGACCAGCATCAATCCTGTCTTCCCTCTCTCCCTTTTTACTTCATCTAGGCTCAAAGCCTATTGATTGGTACCATTCCCACCCAGTACCACATCCTCTAGATCTAGCCATCTTTAAAAAACCCCATAAGCACACTGGACTTTGGGAGGACACCTAGATAGAACTGCTAACATTATAAATGTCTAGTGTTAATTTAAATACACACTCGAGTGGTAGTCACCAGGAAAACTACAGGATGCTAAAACTGCTCTGATGATCATCAACAAGAAGAATTTTTTTAATGGACACAAAAAAATGCAGGATATGTATATGAAGTATAACATGATGTTATACATATATTCATTGTGTAATATTCAAATCAAAGTAAGCACATTTATATCCTCAAATGCTTATCTTTTTAATGAAAACCTTCAAATTCTTTTCCTCTAGACTTTTAAAAACATACATTATCAATTCCTATTGTCAATTAACTATACAAAAGAACATCAGAGCTTACTTCTCCCTTCTGACAACGACTTAGTGGCCTTGACTGACATTTCTCGATCCTTCTCTCCCTCTCTCCAGCCTCCATTAACTCCTATACTCTTAACTTGCATGGGACTAACCTTTTTTGCATTCCATATGTGAGTGAGCATGCCTCTCAAAAATAAAATAGTAACCTTTGAAAGGGGATTTCTTTCATTAATGATTTAAGCCACCAGAATATTTGGTGCTAGAAATGATGATGGTGCTAGATCATGGTGAAATGAGTGATTTTCAAGATGTGTGGATAGGCTAAAGTATTTTAGACACTCCACTGTTGCAGGAAAAGGGCACAGGAGACCAGTGGATTCTTCAAATTTATCCTTAATGATGGCATCTGATGTCACACTCCTGGGTTTCAGTGTCCAGAGGATAGCCCAGAGGCTTGTTCTCACAAGATATCAACAATATGCTTGACTACATTATATTTCACAACTCTGTCATCAGCCTCTAGTAAATCTTTCCTTCAGCATGTGGTTGGGGCATTTAAGGGAAGAACCAACATAGAAGATGATCAAAGGTCCTGGACTTGACTTCAGTGCAAAAATTGGGACTGTCCTGGGGAACTGGGACTACCAGACACCCTGTGTGCTGCTTGCAATAAATGATGGTCTGTTAGACCATCATAATTTGGTTTGACATTTGTTTTAAATGTATAAATTACCTGATAACAGTTTGTAGTGAAAAAAATACTAATAATGCTCACCTATTTCTAACTCATGGTGCAGCCAGCATCTATTTTTTAAATACTAATGGTATAGTGGCCACATTTGTTTAGGTGCATAAACAACACATGGAAAAGGGTAGGCAGTGCAATTTGGGCTGAAATACCTGTGTACTTACATAGTTATACATGCATATATAAATCTACATACTCACATACAAACAACAAATAAACCCAAATACCCCACCACAAATAAGGAACATAAGTATATGAAACTTACTAACCATGAATTATAATATGATCTTTTGGTTTCTGCCACCAAAGTTTCCAACATTTAGTGTTACAACATTTTTGAAGAGATGAAAGCCTCCAGGTTTTCTTCTAAGTACATTTCAGAGTCGACCAAAATGACTCATAACAGAGAACAGCTATAATCACAGCCTGGTTTCTTGTAACATGAAGTATTACTCTCTTACAGCTAAAATAATGAAAAGATCACTATTTGCCTTGCTCT